TCAGAGTAGCTCGGAACTCATGATACTCCTGCCGTTATCGTCTTTAGTGCTGGGACTACAGATGTATACCACCACCCTTAGCTGATGACTTCTTCCAAAGGTGCATTGCTTTGACCTATTTGCTGCCATACTTCAAGGTCTTTTATGCTGGGAAGGGTGGTGGTGGTGGTTCCCAGGCCAGGAGCATCAGCAAATCTATGGAGCTAACTGAATCAGAAACTTGGTGTGTGTGTGTGTGTGTGTGTGTGTGTGTGTGTGTGTGTGCTCTGTGGCCTCACAAGCTTCCCAGGTGGTTCTGATGCCTATCAAAGACAAAGAACCCTGGAGACTGGGACAGAGGCCCAGCTAGTAGGCTCATCCACTGGGTTCTCTGATGGTCTGAAGACAGCAGGGTAGAAAGTATTTTCAGTTGAGTGGCGTGTGTGTGTGTGTGTGTGTGTGTGTGTGTGTTTTATCAAGTTGTAAGAAGTGACTCAGGTCTAGTTGGAGGGAAAGTGTGTGAATTTCTTAACTGGCACATGTTGTACCTGTTTTTCACATTTGTCTGTAGCCCCCAAGAGAATGAAAATAAAAAGAAATCCTGTCAGTAGCTCATGTGTATAATCCTAGCTACTCAGGAGGTTGAGGTCAGAGGACTGAAGTTCAAAGCCAGCCTGGACAGGAACACTGTGAGATTGGTATCTCCAATTAACGACCAAAAAGCTAGAATGGGGCTGTGGCTCAAGTGGTAGAGCACCAGCCTTAAGTGAAAAATACTAAGGGACAGAACATAAGCCTTGAGTCTAAGTCCTAGTATTGGCACAAAACAAAACAAAAATCCCTAACTACAAAGTTTAGCATCTAAGCATATTTGTCAAGGAGAGGGCCATAAAGGCAATTCCCTATTCAGTTAACAACTTGGACTTTGTCTCCTTTGTTCCTGCATAGACAGGCTGCCTAGAGACAGATAACCCACTTATAACTAGATCTCAAAGGTTCCAAGAGCTGGGGTCCTGCGTTCTATTAAGAGGACCCTAGTTAACAAAACCCTGTTTTGAGTTTAGGCTCTGCCACTTACCTGCTGGGTGATTGTGGGCAAATCACTTGGTATTTCTGGGCCTTAGAATCCATTTGTCCCCCAACGGGAGATAGGACACAATTCAACCCAAACTGCTACTGAACACTTCTTTTCATATAGACAAGACATAGATAGAATTGGCCATATCTAGCTGCAAGGGAAGTGGAAGATGTAGGCTTTAGCTGAGTGTATTCCTGTTCCTCTCACCTCTATAAGGCCAAAATACTAAGAAAGCAAGGGAGAGTGGATATGTGTGATGACTGGCAGTCTCTGTCTCAATAGGAAAGATTAGTTCCCCCTTTTAAATGTGAGTACAGTATACCACCAAGTATGGTGGTATATGCCTATAACCCCAGCATGTAAAAGGTGAAATCAAGAGGACTTCAAGTTTCAGGTCATTCTGGGATATATAGCAAGACCCTGCCTCAAATGAACAGCAACAACAATAAAGTCAGTATACCCACTTTAGAATTATTATGCCATAGGGAGAGGTAGACAAAGAAGTAAATAAACATTTATTGAGAAACATGCTGCATAGATGTTGCCAAACAACTGATCGCCAACCCTGCAAGAAAGATGTTTTTACAGACCTATTTTACAGAAAAGAAAATGTGGACTCAATCCTTGATTTGAGTTTATACACCTAATGAGCAGTGACCAGGAATTTTGGTCTGTCAACTAAATTAGATGTGAGATGTGCCCTGGGAATAGGGCATAAGGCCAGAATAAAGAATGAAAGGACCAGACAAAGAGAAAAACTCAGAAGGCCAAAGTAGTGGCTGGACTTCAAGGGAAGACACCAGATTAACTCATAGAAAAGTACTCAGTAAGTACTGCAAACTCCCAAGAGCATCAGTGACCGGAGGCTCTGAAGTCACAGAAGACAGAAGCAGAGATTTGCAATGTAGTCAATTTGGTCTGGAACTTACCATCCTCCTGTCTCAACTTCTTCAGTGCTGGTATTATAGGAGGGAGTACCACACCTGGCAGCCTCAGGACTTTTTGAGGTTGGAGCCATCCACATCTAAAGGATGAAAGCTATTCCTGATCACTGTGCTCTCTGCTTGATAGTAATTGCTAATATGCTTGCATGCTTGCTATAGTATATCTATATATTTATATGAAAATCTTTAACCAAGCACCAGAGGCTCATTCCTGTTATCCCAACTACTCAGGAGGATCAGATCTGAGGATCCTGTCTCAAAGCCAGCCTTCGCAGAAAAAGTCTGTGAGACTCTTAGCTCCAATTAACCAGTAAATACCGGAAATAGAGGTGTGGCTTAAGTGGCCTTGAGCAGAAAAAGCCAAATAAGAGCAAGAGGTTCTAAGTTCAAGTCCTCATATTAACACACACACACACACACACACACAACCATTTTTTCCATCTTAAAAAACCTTCAAAGCCAGGCATCAGTGGCTCATTCCTGTAATCCTAGCTACTCAGTAGGCTGAAATCTGAGGATCACAGTTCAAAGCCAGCCCAGGCAGGAAAGTCCATGAGACTCTTATCTCCAATTAACCACCAGAAAACTGGAAGTGGCACTGTGGTTCAAGGGGTAGAGCGCTCACCTTGAGCTGAAGAGCTGAGGGACAGCATCCCAGCCCAGAGTTCAAGCCCTACGACCAACCAACCAACAAACAACCAACAAAAAAACCCTCCAAGATAGAAAGATGACACTTATTCCATAGTGTTCTATTCTATTGCTGTCTCTTCTTGCTCACATGTCATGATTTTATTTCTTCTTCTAATGTCAGGGTATAACTCAGGGCTTTGTACTCAGTTTGCTTAACTGGCACTTTACCATTTGAGATACACCTCTAGTCTGGCATTTTGCTGGTTAATTGGAGATGGAGCCTCATGGACTTTCCTGTCTAAGCCATTTTTGGATCATGATCCTCTAGATATCAGCCCCTATTATTCTCTCTATATAGCTAGGATTAGAGGCATGAACCACTGGTACTTTGGCACCACTGGTAGTTTCTTTTCTTTTCGTGCTATATAGTAGAGGAAATCCCTTTTCTCTCTTTTTTTCCTCTGTCATCTTTTTTCCTCTCCCTTCCCCTCCTGATCCTTTATCCTCTCTTCTCCTCTACCTCTGAGACACATCCCTGGCTCCTTCTTTCTATTTTTCCAATAATTTTTTTTCTGTTGGTCACGGGTCATTGGTCATGGGTGCTTGAGCTCTTCAGCTCAAGGCTAGTGCTCTACCACTTGAGCCAAGAATTTTTTTTTTTGTCTCTGGGCCTGGGCGCTGTCCCTCAGCTCTTCAGCTCAAGGCTAGCTACTACTTGAGCCACAGTGCCACTTCTGGCTTTTTCTGTTTATATGGTGCTGAGAAATTGCACCCAGGGCCTCATGCATGTGAGGCAAGCACTATACCACTGAGCTATCTTCTCAGCCCTCCAAGAATGTTTTGACTTCTCCTCCTCCTCATCGTCCTCCACCTCCTCCTCCTCCTCCTCCACTTCCTCTTCTTCCTCCTCCTCCTCCTTTCTTTTCTTTTTTCTTCTTTCTTCCTTTTCTTGTCCTGGGGCTTGAACTCTGGGCCTGGGCACTGTCCCTGACCTCTTTGGCTCAAGGCTAGTATTCTACCAACTGAGCCACAGCATTACTTCCAGATTTTTTTCTGAGTAGTTTATTGGAGATAAGGTTCTCATGGACTTTCTGCCCAGGCTGGCTTCAAAACACAATCCTCAGATCTCAGCCTCCTGAGTAGCATTACAGGTGTGAGCCACGGACACTGTTTTTGAATAGCTGTTCAGATGCATTTTTTTGTGTGTGCCAGTCCTAGGGCTTGAACTCAGGACTTGGGTCCTGTCCCGGAGCTTTTGTGCTCAAAGCCAGTGCTCTACCACTTGAGCCCCATCTCAATTTCCAGCTTTTTGGTGGTTAATTGGAGTCTCATGGAGACAGTCTCATGGACTTTCCTGAAGGCTGACTTTGAACTTCAATCCTCAAATCTCAGCCTTCTGAGTAGCTAGTATTACAGGTCCCAGCTTATTTTTTTGAGATGGTTCTGATATGTAGCCCAGGTGGCCTCCAGTTCATGACCTTTCGGACTCATCCTCTTGAGTGTTGGGGTTACATGGTCACCACCACACCGGGCACTTTCAGATATCCCAGGCTCCTCTACTACCGTAAGGAGATAAACTTTCATCCCTGTCTTTGGAATTTACAGAGTAGCCAAGAAATGTTATCATGACAAGAAGTGCAAAACATCGGGAACCTTAGCTACAAGTAGAAAGACTCCAATGAGTGAGATGTCCTGGCAGAAATAAGTGCTATGAGTTATATCGTCTTTTACGGAAGGCTTAAGAGAGGAGGCAACACTATATTGGACTGTGATGGATGAGCAGGAGTTTGTTGGCATTGAAGAAGAGAAATGCTTTGAGACGAGGAAGTCAGTCTCTTAGAGGAGACACATTTTACTTAACGACGGTGAATATGGATCGTCCTGAGTCTGGAAACTCACAAAAAGACTATCTGAACTCCTAAGAGCTGGAGCATGAATTTAAAAAACTGATTTTATTAGAAAACAATACAAGATGACATCCGACTTGGTCTTCGAGGGAGGAACAAATCCTCCACCAGGCCAAGAGAGTTCTGCCGTGACGGAAAAGCCTTCCTGGATTCAGAGTGGCCGTCGTGCGCGATCTCCCAAGATCCAAGATGCAGGATCACAGGTTTCCATCCGCGCAGACGCTCGGAACTCATCGGTGACGGCCCCGCAGTTCCCGATTTCCCAGCGTGGATATCTACACGGAGAGGTCAACGCCGAGGTCTGTGGCGCAGGTTTGCCGAGCTGGCCGGCACAGCTGAATGCTTTATGTCCGAATCGACCAATGGGCTGGCGGCACCCGGTTGCCAAGGATACGGGGCAGGCGGAGGCGGGGTCTGAAGGCCAGGGGCGGGGCCGGGGCGGGGCTTATATAAGCGGGCCGCGGGCGGAAGGCGGGGCGTGGGGTCGGTGGCTGCTGGGCGCGCGGGGCGCAGGCCGCGGGGCCGGAGGCGGGGGGAGCGAGCGAGCGGAGGCGCCGAGGATCCGGTTCACTCGCTGGGGAGACCTATGGGCCGAAGCCGTGTAAATGCGTTTTAAGGCGAGTGCAGGGAGTGGCTTGGGGAACCCCGGGGAGCGAGCACCCGGGGCTCCGGTGCTGACCGGTTCCCGGGCCCCTTTTGCCCCCTCTCAGCAGGGGCCTCGGCTCCGCAACTGCCACTCCTCCTCGGGGTGTTGCACAAGTTTCGAGGTCACCGGCGACCCCCCCTAGCAGCGCGCCTGGCTCTGGCCCCCGCGAAGGAGGACGGGGCTTGGTAAGGGGGTTCGGGGGAGGGGCGGGGCGGGACTTTCGCCCTGCACTCGAGAGGGGTTACCCGGATAGAACCTCGGCTTTCAGCCCTTGCCCGGGAGCCCGCGGACCCCACCCGCTGTGTGGCGACCCCCCTCACCCCCCCGCACCGTGCACGCTTAGGATGATGTAGCACGGCAGGACCAATCGTTTACCAAGCGGGAAACTGAGGCCCCCAGAGCAGTCACGCTGCCGAGAGGGCTCGCCAGCCTCTCAGCTCCAGTTCTTCGGCTGAGAATCTCTGGGCTGGGCCACCGGCGCCCCCTTTAGGTGGGCGTAGCCAGGACCGGGGGGGGGCATCCTGGAAACTTGCACACCTAGGTTTCTCAGGTTTCTTCCTCCGTTGTTTAATCCTTTCCTTTCCAATCCAGACTTTTAGAACTGGAAAGGAGCTCCGAATCCATCCATCCCTTTTACAGATGGGGCAGCTGAGCTCGGGCTGGCGTGACCTGGAGGCATACAATCCCATTGCGGAATCCAAGATTCCTGACCCATCCCCACTCCTCCCAGTGAACCTAGCCCCTCTCTCCCCTCCCAAGTGTGTGCCGGGGAGGGGAGGAGGAGGGGATTGGGTGTGCCTAGATTGGGAGGTGAGCCTGCCCGTAAAGGTCCTTGCATCTCAGCTTCCTCTCCCCCACCCACAGTGTGTTGCATACTTTCTAAGGCGGCTGAGGCGGCAGTTGCTGCCGGGGCTCCATCCAGCCAGTGGCTCCTGGTCGGCATGGCAGGCTACCTGAGTGAATCGGACTTTGTGATGGTGGAAGAGGGCTTCAGCACCCGAGACCTGCTGGAGGAGCTCACTCTGGGGGCCTCCCAGGCCACCACGGTGAGGAGCTGGGAATGGGGATGGGCATCTGTCCAATCCTCTGGAAAAGGACCCTTCATCCTATACACTCACTTATATAGCATGCAGCCTTTGCTTTTGCAAGAGACAGGCTAGTTTTATCTCCACTTCCTTGGACCTTGCCCCCAAAGCCATCGAGTCTCCTGCCTTGATGAACAGCCTCTAACTTTGCAGTTCAGAAATCTGTGTGTTCTCTCTCTCCACCTCCCGCCTCATCTCTAGGTATTACCAAGCTCTCTGAAGTCCACTTCCTTAAATAACCCTCCAAGCAACTCATATAGAACTTATCTTTATAGCCCAGTTCCAGTCTCCCTAAGGGCCCTCTGACCTCAGTTTCATTCCACCCCCTCCAACTGTATTATACATAGCCCTCCTCAAAATCAGAATTCCTTGGCAGTTCCCCATTGCTTCAGGATCAAGTCTACCTCATCAAGTCTACATCAGCCCATTCCCTGCTCCATTCATGTTTCCCAGTGATGAGATACCCTTAATTCACATGCCTTTGCCTGGGGCTGTTCCCTTAGTCTGGAGCATCCTTCTGCTGGCCTCTCCTCTTTACCCATTTGTAGTGTTCCTTACTTCCCATCTGGGTTGCAACATCTTGGCTGCCCCAAGAAGGTTTTATATTTTCTTTTTCCATAGTCGCTAATACCTTTTATTTAAGTGCAAACCTAGCATTTGTTGAAGGGACTTGTAATTAGTTAAGTGTCCATGTTCCTCCAGACCCAAATTAGAGCTAGGTCTCTCTTTGGTCTTCTCTGTCCCTTACCATCACCCCTGGCACCAGTGGGTACCAGTAAGAATGTGTTAATGTGAAACAGGGAGGGTTGGATGATAGGGTCTCATCCACCTCTTCATTCACACTCAGTGTCAGCCACTCTGATGCCCAGTTGACCACAGTGGCAGTGGGATGAGCCCTTGTATGTAAATTCCAGAGGGTTGTGGGCCACAGCTTCTGCCTTCCCCAAACTGACCTTTTTATGGACCAGACAGATGGGTATACTATTCTAATACACATATGCTTTGAAAGCAAAAAATGCAACAGTTAGACGGGCACCAGTGGCTCACACCTGTACTACTAGCTACTCAGGAGGCTGAGATCTGAGGATCATGGTTCAAAGCCAGCATGGGCAGAAAAGTCCCTGTGAGATTCATCTCCAATTAACGAGACTCCTCTCCAATCAACCACTCAAAAAAAATGAAAGTGGTGCTGTGGCTCAAGTGGTAGAACACTAGCCTTGAGCACAAAGAGGCTCAAGGACAACACTCAGGCTCTGAGTTCAAGCCCCACAACAGAGAGGGGGCGGTCGGGACAGTAGTCCTGAGAACCTTCATGACCACTTGCCTTTTGGGCTTGAGGAAGAAGCATTTGAGCTGCAATTTGAAGGTAGATTGGGATTTCTCTAAACCCAGCAGAGAAGGCTTAGAGGTGACAATGTGATCCAGTATGAGTTTTGTCTGCGTTGGTAAAGAAGGTCTATAGTGCAGGATTACAGAGCCTTGAATTCCAGGCCGAGGAGTTTGCCTTCCATTCTCCTAGAGGCTTGGGGAACATCCTCCCCCTTCAATGACAACAGGCTAGAGCTGAACTGGGGGGAGGGGGGAGGAGCATGTATAGGGAGGGAGCTGGGTGTGTGGGTGTGTGTGTGTCTCACATCCATATGCCTCTTGTATAGGATAAGGTTGCTGCCTTCTTCGTGGCTGACCTGGGTGCTGTAGTGAGGAAGCATTTCTGCTTTCTGAAGTGCCTGCCTCGAGTCCGGCCCTTTTACGCTGTCAAGTGCAACAGCAGCCTGGGTGTGCTGAAGGTCCTGGCTGAGCTGGGGCTGGGCTTCAGCTGTGCTAACAAGGTGAGCTCCAGACCCCACCCATGCACTGACCATTAACGCCTGCCAAGTGTGGCCTTGTTGCTGGGGGTGGATCCTGGGGAACAAGAGTGACCTGCAGTTGGCCACTGTCCTTTAGGAAGGTCACCTACCAGGAGGAGGCAGCAGGGAGGAAGGAGGAGGAAATGCATATAGAATTTGTCAGCCTTGACGTTCCAAATTGGATCCTGTATATCCCTAAGTAGAAGTGTCACTTTTTAAAGTAGAGGTTTTAATTTTTTTTTCTTTAAAAAAATTCAGTTGGAAGTTTTATTTTATTTTATTTTTTTGGGGGTCCGGTTGTGGGGCCTGAACTCTGGGCCTGGGTGCTGTCCCTCAGCTCTTCAGCTCAAGGCAAGCGCTCTACCACTTGAGCCACAGCGCCACTCCGGCTTTTTTCTTTTTGCTTATGTGGTGCTGAGGAACCGAACCCAGGGCCTCAGGCATGCAAGGCAAGCGCTCTACCACTGAGCCATCTTCCCAGCCCCCCAGTTGGAAGTTTTAATAGCTATATATGCTATTTTAATTAAAACAAATACTTCTATATTGTTTATTTATTTATTTATTTATTTTTGGTCGCGGGGCCTGCATTCTGGGCTTGGGCGCTGTCCCTCAGCTCTTCAGCTCAAGGCTAGCACTCTACCACTTGAGCATAAACCCCACTTCCGGCTTTTTTCTTTTTGCTTATGTGATGCTGAAGAATGGAACCCAGGGCCTCATGCATGCAAGGCAAGCACTCTACCACTGAGCCACCTTCCCAGCCCCTATAGTTGTTTTTTAATAATCAACCTGTGTGTATTTTTCTTAAGTAATCCTTGTACCATTCTATTGCTGTTGTTGCTGCAAATTCTAACTTGATTTCTGCTATTAATTAGAGGTTAATTTCTTACTGCTGTCTTTTGTGGACTTGGCTTACATACTGTGACTTAGCAGTCATTGAACTAGGGTGTTGTAGCTGACTCTGCTTGGGGGAGGGACTGCTGTAAAGCCAGGCAGACCTTGAGTTGAATGCTTGGTTCATCTACTTTCCTTCGGTCCTTACTAGATTAAAAAAAAAAGCCTTGATCTATGAAGTTTCCTCAAGGTACAGCTTTGGGCACGACTCATTTATTCATTTAGCAAATAATCACTAAACAAATACTGCTGCCAGATATATACTAGGTGAGAATATAGGCCAGAATAAAACAAATTTAAAAAAAGCCTTTCCTTCTTTGAGCTGGTATTCTAAAGAATAAACATACAGTGAAAATGTATAGTGTTATAGGTGGGAAACAGGGAATGCTGAATGACAGTTTGATCCAGGAAGGCTTGCCAGATTTGAATGTAAACCTAAAGGAAGCAGGGGGTCAAGCCAGGTGGAGAAGTAAGGAAGAGCCTGCCAGGTAGAGGAGCTAATAGATGTAGAAGCCTGAGGTTGAAGCAAGTCTCTAGGCAGTGGTTTGTGACATTGGCACTGCCATCATTCACAACTAGTCATGATGGTTCTGAGGCAAACCCCTTTTAACTCCCGAGTTGGTAGTATGGCTTAGATGTTGTGAGGAGAGTTCTAGAAAGTATTCCCAGAGGAGAAGGGAGGAAAGCCAGCCAGGGAAGAATGACAGGGCTGGAGCCACAGCTGAGGGACAAGTGTGTATAGGATAAGAAGCTCAGAATGTGTAAACTAACCTTTGCCAAAGGCCGAATGCTTTTGCTCTTTGCTGTTTATAGTCTATGAGCCTCCTCTTCTGGCCCTGGCTTTTTTACAACTTGTTTCATGTGTCTATTACATGAAAATCTATGAGGCACTCAGAGGAGACTCTGCAGAGCCAGAGCTTTGCCCTCTTTGCTGCCTTCCATGACCTGGTGGGCCTCCCTGCAGAGTTACAAGGGACAGTATCCAAACCGCACTAAGTAGAATCCTGGTGAATGGCTGGTCCTCTAGTCTCAGGGACTGGCTTCCTAAGGGCACAGCTATTGGGCATAGAAGTCATTGAAGACAGTAGGGGACAGTAGAAGCTTCTACTGTTGGTTGACTGCAGCTGCTGGGCCCGGCACTTTGCCAAGCCTTTTCTGTGCATGATCTCACTTTATTCTTGCAAAAACCCCGTGAGGTGATTACTGGGATTCAGACAACAGTTCTGGGAAGATACATTGAACATAGAAGGGAAGGCAGAGATCGAGTGACTCACTAGGGTTATGCACTGGGAGGTGACAGCCTGAATTTACCAATGTGGTCCTCTCAGCCTCTATTACTGTTGTCTATTCTAAGATCCTCAGGGAGGATGTGGCTGAGCTGGCACTTGTCCAGTGAGGGACACCTTGCCCTCATTTTTCATCAAGGGCAAGAGGCCTAAGCCCCATCCCTGGAGTGGGGGTATGCGGACTTTTTGGTGCAGTTACTAAGATAAGAGATGGCTCCTGGAATTCCCTTGCCCCTGTGCTGGAGAATATGGTAGGCAAATACTTTCCCACTGGGCTCCATCCCCAGGTACCTGAATTAGAACTTTTTCTAATGGTGTATGTCTGCCCTCTTGTGGCCAGTTTTAGTGATTGGTCATGCATAATGGCACCACGGCTTTCTGGATGTTGACCAATGAGCTTGGCTTGATCTAAGGCTCCTGGAAGGACAGACACACATTGGACAGACTCCAGGGCTAGAGAGACACAGGCTATAGCTTGGCAAAGGGACGCTGGCTTACCAGACCTCTTTCCTGAGTAACTTGTGTCGTACATTTCACCCTCCTCCACTCCTTGCTCTTTTTTGCCTAGGTCCCTTGCCCTTTTTCCACTTAAAAACAAAACAACAAAAAAGCCTTCCTTTGATAACAGCTGCCTCCAATACAAACGCTCCTTCAGCCCTGCTTCCCAGCCTCTACTCTTACTCCTCCAACGAATTTCCTCTAATCAAAAGTACCCAGGAGCCTCTAGGATTCAACAAATACTTTATGTTCAACAGTAATTGTGAACTATTCAACTAATACATCGATTCATTCACCCACAGAGAAAATGAGACACGAGCTTTATATCTCCATAGATAATCACACATCGTGGGTTTGGTGGGTATATAGCACTTCAAAATACACAAAGTGTCCAGAGAAAGTATTTAAAATATTTTGGGATTTTGTAACATTCCTGGTATGCATCATGTTCCACAATAACTTTAAACCCAGCAGGTTTTGGAGCTCTGCCCTGTGGATGTGGATGGATTTGGACCTGGGCTGAAGGACAGTCCTTGATTTTCTTCATCTCTCTTATCAACATTCAGCAGGGCATTCTTTTTTTTTAAGTACTTAATAATAAAATACACTCCCAGTTTTAAAGACTAAAGTGGTACCTAGGATGAGCGTGAACATTGCTCCAGATCTGCCTGCTCCCCCCGCCCCCCCCAGGCCCTCCCCCTGCCACTGAGGCTTCCAATAGGGCTCACATTCAAGTTCTGACCCCCACAGCACTGTCTTTCCCCTACTTCCAATCACACCTTGGTCCACCTGTCTCTCATTTTGTTGTACTGCATCATAAACCCTCCCTTCATACTTCTGACTACTTGTCATTCTACCATGGATCAGAGTCCATTTTTGACTGCTGGTATTCCCCACAGCCTGAACACTGTGAACAGTCCAAGACCCTGGCTGCTTTCTTCACTTGTTTGCATCATACAGGTCAATGGATGATCGAAAGATAACCTGCCACTGGAAACTGAGATCTGTCCGTTACTTTCTCAGCTATGCCATTATAAGCTGTGTAACTTTGGATAGTCACGTAACCTCTCTGAGCCTCAGCTTCCCACTTCATATGATTATGAAGATTGAATGAGAGTGTAGATGCAATTTCTGTGCAAAGAGTGACACATAGTAAGCCTTCCTGGAATGATATGCGTATTTACTAATCAAGGCCCAATCACAGCTTCTCAGTGCCAGCATTGCTCTTTTCACTCACTGTGCAAAAAACCCATTTGCCCAATCACCCAAACTCTGGATGGGGGCACATTTGCCTCAGGGAAGTGAGCTTTATGGCCATAAGTCCAACCCTGGAGATCGGCATTTGTGTCCCCCATGTTGTTCATTGACTGTCATCACAGGCAACAGACCCAAGACAGGTTTTTCCTCTATGAAATGTGGCCAGATAATACTTCCTAGGATACTTAAAGGAGCTATAAAATAATGCATATAAATACCTGGTGCTGGAAAGTTACCAAATCCAAATTCATCTTAGGATGGTTACAAATGGCTCTTCTGTCTCCTACCATGTTTCAAGATTGGCTCTCCTGACTTGTCCCCTTTTCGTGGTGAGTCAGACCTTGGTATGGACATTGCTTTTGCCAGGTAGCTGCTTCATAGCCTTAGCATGTTTCTTTCTCTGTAGAATAGAGCTTATACCATTCCAATAGGTTGCAAATCCAGTGTTCCCCTGATTTGTCCTATCCTAGCCACGCACATTCACTTTGGCACGTCTGTGGTTGCTTTCATGCCACCATGGCCGTTAGGTAGTCATGGCAGAGACTGTATGGCTTGCAAAACCTGCAACATTAACATGAGCCCTGTAGAGAAAATTTTCTCTAGCATCGAGGAACTTCCTGAGACTACACCCCTCCCCTCTTATCTCTGGCCTTATAATGCAAAAAACAAGCTGCACCATGTCATATAAAGGGAGGAAAGGCTGGATGTGGAGCTCTGGGGTAGAGCATCTGCCTAGCATGCATGAGGCCCTGGGTTCATCCTAGGCACCACAAATAAACAAGCCAGATGCTAGCAGCTCACATTTGTAATCCTAGCTACTCAGGAGGCAGAGATCTGAGGATTTCAGGTGGAAGCCAACCGAGACAGGAAAGTCTATGAGACTTTTTTTTAAATAAGTTTTTTATTGTGAAAATACTGTACAGAGGGGTTACAATCAAGGTAATGAGTACATTTCTTATCAAGCATTGTTGCCTCCTCCTTTGTTTTTCCCCTACCATCCCTTCTCTCCCAGCTCCACAACTACTTTCCCCCCTTCCCGGGAATGACCAAAATGCTGGAGGTGGAGGTATGACTTAAGTGGTAGTGCTCCAGCTTTGAGCAAAAAAAGCTAAGAGAGAGCATGGGGCCCCAAGTTCAAGCCCCACTACTAGCACAAAAACAAAACAAAAACAAAACAACACCAGAAAGGTAAGGAGGAAGAGGAAGCCCTGGGGAGAAGGCTGTGTGGACTCACCCAGCACAGCTCCCCATACAGCACAGACCTTGGGAACTGAGTTGATCTGTGGCAGAAATACTCTTCATCTTGTAGACTTTCAAGTATACCAAATAACATTGTGATTTCTTTACTTAATAAGTTAATAATAGTTATATGTTTGTAGTATGCACATGATGTTTGGTGATTTTTTAAATTTTTTTTTCCTTTTTTCTTTCTGGTCCTGGGGCTTGAACTTGGGGCCTGGGTTTGTCCCTGAGCTTCTTTAGCTAGCGTTCTACCACTTGAGCCACAGCATCACTTCCAACTTTTTCTGAATGGTTTATTGGAGATAAGAATCTCACAGACTTTCCTGCTCCCAGTGGCTTCAGACTGTGATCCTCAGATCTCAGAGTAGTTAGGATTATAGGTGTGAGCTGCCTGTGCCTAGCTCACACATGATTTTTTGATATATGTATAAGTTGCTGAGTGGCTAAATCAAATTGACACATGAATGAATCACATTTTGTTGTATTTTTGTGATGAGAAAACCTAAGTTCTTCCTTTTTAGCAATTCCTAAATATGTAGTACTCTGCTGCTACCTATTGTCACTATCATGTAAAGATCAGTCCTAAACTTATTCCTTTTAGCTGGAACTGGATATTCATTTACTCACATCTCCTCATGATTCCACCTCCCCTAACAGGCAATGACTATCCACTCTGCTTCTCTGAGTTTGACTTTGTAGATTCTGTATATAAGTGAGATCATGTAGTTTTGGTCTTTCTGTGTATGGCTTATTTCACTTAATTTAATATTCTTCTAGATTCGTTTATGTTGTCACAGATGACAGAACTTTCTTCTTTTTCAAGGTGAAATGTAATATTCCATTGCGTGCATGTACTACTTTTTCTTTTTCTTTTTGCTTTCTTTTTTTTTTTGCCAGTCCTGGGACTTGAACTCAGGGCTTGGGTGCTGACCCTGAACTTCTTTTGCTCAAGGCTAGCACTCTACCACTTTGAGCCATAGCCCCACTTCTGGCTTTTTCTGTGTATGTGGTGCTGAGGAATTGAACCCAGGGCTTCATGTATGCGAAGCAAGCACTCTACCACTAGGCCACCTTCCTGGCCCTGCACTGCCTTGTTGTTTTTTTTTTTTAACCTTTCTTTATTCCTTCTCCCCCGCCCCCCCCCCGCCTTTTTTTCTTTTTTCTTTTTGAGCACTAGGGTTTGAGTCCAACGCTTCATATTTTCCAGGCAGGCACGCCTGTACTTTAGTACTTTGTACTTTGTACTTTAGTAATTTTCCAAATAGAGTCTCATTTTTGCTTAGGCTACAGTGGATAGCGATCCTCCTGTTCAAATTTATCACATAGGATCACAAGTGCATATCATTATACTCAAATTATTGCTTGAGATAGGGACTTGCTAACTCTGCCTGGGCTGGCCTTGAACCATGAGCCTTCTGATTTATATTTCCCAAGTACCTAGGATTCAAAATATGAATCACAGGCCTACTTCTTTTATTTAGCTTTTCCTTTTGTCTCTTTCTTTCCTTCCTTTATTTCTTTTCTTTCTTTCCTTCTTTCTTTCTTTCACCAGTCCTGGGCATTGTCCCTGAGCTTCATTTGCTCAAGACTAGCATCCTACCACTTGAGCCATAGCACCACTTCTGGCTTTTTCTATTCATGTGGTACTGAGTGCATGCTAGGCAAGCACTCCAACACTAAGCCATATTCCCAGTCCAGATTTTTATTTTCTTTACTGTTTATTTTTCTATTTTTGAGACAGGGTCTCATGTGTAGTTCAGGCTGGCCTTAGGCTTGCTATGGGCTTGGGCTGGCCTTGAACTCCCTATTCTCTTGCCTCAGCCTCCCACTATTCCTAGCTATACCACATTTTCCTTTTATTTCTTTCCTTCCTTCCTTCCTTCCTCCCTCCCTCCCCCTCTCCCTTCCTCCGTCCCTTCTTCCCTCCTTTCTTTTCTTTCTTTCTTTCTCTCTTTCTTTTTCTTTTCTTTTCTTTTTTTTTAGGTCTGGTCGTGGGGCCTGAACTCTGGGCCTGGGCGCTGTCCCTCAGCTCTTCAGCTCAAGGCTAGCGCTCTACCACTTGAGCCACAGCGCCACTTCCGGCTTTTTTCTTTTTGCTTATGTGGGGCTGAGGAATCGAACCCAGGGCCTCAGGCATGCAAGGCAAGCGCTCTACCACTGAGCCATCTTCCCAGCCCCTTCTTCCTTTCCTTCCTTCCTTCCTTCCTTCTCTTTCTTCCTTTCTTTCTTCCTTCCTTTCTTTCTTTCTCTTTCTTTCTTCTTTCTTTCTCATTTCTTTCTTTCTTCCTTTCTTTCTTTCTACCAGTCCTGTGGCTTGATCTTTTTGCTTAAGCTAGTGCTCTATCACTTGAGACACAGCTCCACTTCCAGCTTTATTTTTGGTAGTTTAGTGGAGATGAGTCTCACAGACTTACCTGCCTGGGATGGCTTCAAATAGTGATCCTGAGATCTTAGCCTTCTGAGTAGCTAGGATTAATAGATGACTTTTAAAAAGATATCTGATAATGAATATACTGATTTTGTTAGGATGTGATTTTGGCAGTATTGGGATTTGAACTTAGGGCCTCATGCTACCTATGCAGATACTCTAACTGCTGACTCATGTCTCCAGACCTGATTCTTTGCTGATTATTTTTGCTGGATTGTACCTTAGTGCAATCTACCCTCGTTAGAATTTGTAATATAGGTAGCTAGGCTAATAGGAACACTCCAGCTTGCCTGGCTCTTTGTTGAGAAGGAGGTCTCATGGATTTTTTTTTCTGCCCAACTAGGCCTAGAATTGCTATCTCAACAATCTCAACTTCTCAAGTCGCTGGGATTATGGTGTCAGCCAGCGGTGGCACACAGCATTAGAATGTGATGTTTTACTGCCAAGGAATTATAATAATATCTATTTGCCCCGTATTTGCTGTGAGCTGGCTCCCTGGAATTGTGCAGTGCACTCCCCATGTGCTGTATGTAGCCTGTCAGGGAGTGGTGGATCACAATAAAGTCCTAATGGTTGTGACTCTGCTGTCTTAAAGGGCTACCCACTTGTTATGGGCCTCCCCAGTAGCAACTAAGACTTTACCCCTTTATGTGCTTCGTTGTGCTCCATGGTCCAATAGGCCCTGGTGCCTTCTTACCTCTTTTCTTGGGACCCCACAGGCAGAGATGGAGTTGGTCCAGCGTATTGGTGTCCCTGCCAGTAAGATCATCTACACCAGTCCCTGTAAGCAAATTGCACAGATCAGGTATGCTGCCGAGCATGGGGTACAGCTGCTGAGTTTCGACAATGAGATGGAGCTGGCAAAGGTGGTGAGGAGCCACCCCAGTGCCAAGTAAGCCAAGAACTACTCAAAGGGTCGGGGAGGCAGGCAGGGATACTGGATGAGGGCAGTGGAGTGAAGGGACCCAAGGAATGAATAGAACATGGGGAGGGCATAAATGGAAAGCTGCAGAAGCAGATGCATGGGTGTCAGGAACAGCAGGGGGCATCAGAGGGATAAGCAGAAATTTGCTGTGCCTCAAATGTGCCGTGTGTGTGTGTGTGTGTGTGTGTGTGTGTGTGTGTGTGTGTGTACACATTATGGGGAAGGGACACAATGGATGACACACTGGCCATGGAGCAGGTACCTGAAGCAAATAGATTCTGGAAGGGTCTAAGACTGGTCATCTTGCTCTGGTTGGCTTTTACTGCTTCCTTGGCATCCTGGGGACCCAGAGAGGGTTAGGGGTAGGTTGCATGGTGGGCTACTCTGGTTCACCCAAAGCAGCTTCCATCATGTTATTGGGGCCCACTGTGAGATTTTGATTCCTTTCATCCATCGTGGGTTTGAAAACTGCTTGGAGTGGAGCCAATTTGGAGGATTGGAGCTGTCTAGAGGAGACCTTATGGGGCTGGGGTGGTCAGGGGCTATGGGAATGGGTCCTGGGTTGTTTAGAGACTGGGTTGAACAGGACTTAGAGATGAACTGATATACAGGTAGAGGAGGGAGCAGGATTTCTGTGTGCCCAGTAGGACCCGAGCCATGTGGTTCACAGCCCTGGTTTCTCAGGAGATGTGGCAGGAGTGGGACAGGTGGGGCCTACCCTCTTCCATGTACTGTGTCTCCTCAGGATGGTTCTGTGCATTGCTACTGATGACTCCCGCTCCCTGAGCTGCCTGAGCTTGAAGTTTGGGGCACCTCTGAAATCCTGCAGACACCTGCTTGAAAATGCCAAGAAGAGCCACATGGAGGTGGTGGGTGTGAGGTGTGCGCTGGGAGCCCTCCCCCACTCCCACCCACGCCACACCCGCTGTCTCTTTCCCGGGAATTAGTCATGCTGCATAAAACTTTTCCCCCAAAGGTTGGGCCTGGAATTCTGTCAGTTGGGAATTTCCTCTTTTTTGAAAGGAGGTTTCTAGATGTTCCCCTGCCCTAGCCCCACAGTCCAGAAGGTCTTGCCCATCCCACTCCCCCCCTGGCCCCCCATTGCCCCTCCATCCCCCCCTCTAGTCTCCCAGTCCCCCTCCCACACCTGGCCTGGAGGGAGTTGAACCAGCCTATAGGCAAAGGTTGTACAGCCAGGCTCTGGAACTGCCTTTTTTTTTTCTTTTCAAGGATATGGAATAACAATGGTCAATTATATAGCTTCATTTATTTAGTTTAGTCATTATTCATTTATTCATTATTACTTCCCACACTGCTGAGAGTCTCATCTCCATCATTCCACAGCCTGTGCTACAGGCACTTATCCTTGCTTAGTAGACAGGGAGACATGTAAAGGTCAAGCTTCGGTGGCTTGTCCAGGCCTTACACTGACAGGTACTCCAAGTCTGGATACCTTGGGGCCCTGGCTCTCCGATTCCAAAAGTTTCTCTCTCAGGGAAGCATTGAAGGGTGGAAGGAGCACCAAGTGCCTCCTGTCTACTCCTCACTTGCCATATGGCTCTTTGCCATCCATTTAATGTGTTAGGTGTCAGTCACTGTACCTGTAGCATGGGCACATTGTCCCATGCATCTGTTCAGGGCTGAGGTGGTGGCACCTGGGGCTCTGAATGTAAGCTGAGGCTCTTCTTCCCTTCCCAGTTTTCATGTTGGCAGTGGCTGTCCTGACCCTCAGGCCTATGCTCAGTCCATCGCAGATGCCCGGCTTGTGTTTCAAATGGGTGCCGAGCTGGGCCACACGATGCACATTCTGGACCTTGGTGGTGGCTTCCCTGGCATAGAGGGAGCCAAAGTGAGACTTGAAGAGGTAATCCTGGGCTGGAGTCTCTTGCTGGGCTCTTTGGGTGGGGAGTGGGGAGAGGCTGCAGGGCAGGGAGAGTAGAATGATTTTAGGACCTAACTTGATTGTGTTACCACTTATTAATCCTGTTGTTATCACTGAGTAAACTGGAACTCATAGAGGTTTCAGTTTCCTGACACCACCAGCCCATGAACTTAACCAGCCTATTTGAGGCTTAGCCAATATATGGGCATGTGACTGTGTTCCTTGAGGATCTGAGTATGTCCTATTCACCCTCTGACAGGCTAGGGAGAAATCTAGTAGAGAAAGGAAGACCCACCTGTGAAATGAGGGTAAGAAAAATGTGCAATAGCAGTCCCTACTCTAATTACTAAGGGCACTGCTCCTTAGAAACAGACTGCTTCTAAAATCTCCACATTTAGGAACTGATCATCTGAGACAGTTCAGGAAAGGATATAAATAATTAGCTTCATGGCTCACTCCTGTAATCCTAGCCATGGAGGAGGCTGAGATCTGAGGATAACAGTTCAAAGCCAGCCCAGGCAGGAAGTCCTTGAGACTCTTATCTCCAGTTAACCACCAAAAAGCCAGAAGTAGAGTTGTAGCTCGAGTGGTAGAGCACCAGCCTTGAGCAAAAAAGCTATGGAACAGTGCTCAGGCTCTGAATTCAATCCAAGCTGGCTCATACTTAACACACACACACACACACAAACACACACACACACACACACACCATAACAAAAGAATATACACACAGCCAGGCACTGGTGGCTCATGCCTGTAATCCTAGCTACTCAGGAGGCTGAGCTCTGAGGCTCTGCCAGCCTGGGCAGGAATGTCTGTGAGACTCATATCTTCAATTAGCTACCTAAAAACTAGAAGTGGCACTGTGGCTCAAGTGGAAGAGCACTAGCCTTGATCTGAAGAGCTCAGGGACAGTGCCCAGGTCCAGAGTTCAAGCCCCACAACTGACCAAAAAAAAAAAAAGAATATGCACACAGTTCCCATCATATTTATAATAAAAATTGTGTTTGCAGATTGGGCATAGAAATAATTAATAGAACTACTCTTTTAAAAAGTCCACAATGTTTAGATTTATCTGGATAATAGAATTAGAAACATTTATCTTTTTATTTATCTATATTTTAATTTTTTCTATAATGTATTATTAACTGGTTATTTGTGAAAGAATGATCTACATCATGGCTTCTGGAATCTGGTCCCCAAGCATTACAGTAAGTGCTCCTTCCCATTGTGGGGTGTTGAGGAGGGTATCCACCAAGCCTTGTCCCCCTTCTGCCTTTCTGGCTGGCTGTCCCCAGTTACCAGCTGGGCCTTAGCAGCTGCCAAGTTCTTCCTAAAATCAAAACAACTCTCAAGAAATAGACTTGGATCAGTAGCAAGTCTGCACCAGAAACACCACATTTCAAGCACACAATTGTTCCCCACCCCCACCAGATTGGTTCTGTGATCAATTCAGCTTTGGACCTATACTTCCCTGAGGGCTGTGGTGTGGACATCCTTGCAGAGCTGGGACGCTACTACGTGACCTCCGCCTTTACTGTGGCAGTCAGCATCATCGCCAAGAAGGAAATTCTCCTGGACCAGCCCGGCAGGGAAGGTAGGTATTTGGTGGGCAGCAGAGCCCTGTTCTGCCCTGAGGCTGGCAGCAGAGGGGTAGGGGGTAATGAGCAGTTTTGGATGCAGTGACAGGTTGGGGAAATCTGGGTAAGGGGACTTGCTGAAGGGAGCTGTATTGTCTTTCCTTCTCATCCTCAAACAATATTTAGCATTTTTTCTCTAGGTGTGTTCAAATTCTGTGCAGGTTGAGATCAGAACATTAGGGAGGGGAGATACTCTTTTGATCCCATTTGACAGATGGGGAAACAGAGTCAGAAGGAATACAGAGGTGAAGCCTGCATTTGACCCCATATCTATCTTCTCTATGAAGTACAGGCTCAAAAATCATATTTGTTTAAGTCCATTTTACAGATGACAGAATGTAGGTTGGGAGAGGTTGAGTCACCAACTCAAGGTCATTCAACTGGTAAAGAATAAAGTTCAGGGCCTGCTGACTCAGAGCTGTGTGCCCCACACTGCCAACATCAGTGTTCCTCCTTGCCTGCTCCAGGTAGATTAGACCTACCTGAAGGATCTTTCAGAAGCTTGTGAGTGGCAAGTGTCAGGGAATCTGGTCTCTTAGCTGAGGGGGATGGGGGGAAGATAATATACTTTGTAGAGGGGTGGTGGGCTCTAGTTAGAATGGTGTGTGTGTGTGTGTGTGTGTATGCACAAGCACATGCATGTGTACATGTGGGTGCACATATTGACATTCGTCTAGCCATCTCTATAAACCTAGGAGACTGTCCTGTCTAGTCCACCCAGGAGCCAGGAAACCTGGCTTCTTGTTTCATAGCATTTCCTGTTATGTGCTTCCTTCTTGGAAGGAAGGCAGGCCTGCTCTTCTGCCTTTGCTGGTGCCTTTAGGGGCTCAGGTGCAGAGAAGTGTGTTCTGGCAGAGAGTTTTGGCTGCAAAGGATAGTGTTCCCACTGTGGCAGTGAACCCTTGTCACTATGATGGCCGTTGGTGAGGAAAAGGCAGCTCTGTTGCTCTTGCTGAGCCACCATGGTTCCAGCGACCTACTGCCAGGCCCCTCACTTTCTGCTTGTACTCCTCCTGTCACCTCCTTTCCCTGCAGAGGAAAATGGCTCCACCCCCAAGACAGTTGTGTACCACCTTGATGAGGGCGTGTATGGGATCTTCAACTCAGTCCTGTTTGACAACATCTGCCCTACCCCCATCCTGCAAAAGGTGAGCCTACCCTTATGGGTCTCTTTACATTGTGTGTGTGTGTGTGTGCCTTTCAATAACATCTCGTGTTTATATCTCATTCTGTTCATTCTCTTCAGAGGAGCAAACTTAAGGCCTTGACATGCTAGGCAAGCATTCTAACACTGAGCTACACACCAAGCCACATATTTTTACTTTTTTAAAAATTAGACACAGGACTGAGGATATAGTTTAATCATAGAGCACTTGCCTGACATGCATGAGGCCCTGGGTTAATCTTCCCTCAAAAAGTAGAAAAAAATGGACAGAAAGAGGCTAGGTGTGGTGCATGCCTATAATCTCCGCCTTCAGGAGGCTGAGGCAGGGGGATCTTGTCTGGTATTTGATGCCAATCTAGGCTTCATAATGAGATCCTTTCTCAAAAAAGAAAAAGACAACAAGGTTAAATATTATATTTCCTTTTATTCTTTTAGAAAATTCATTTTAGGAGCTGGGAAGGTGGCTCAGTGGTAGAACGCTTGCCTTGCATGCCTGAGGCCCTGGGTTCGATTCCTCAGCACCACATAAGCAAAAAGAAAAAAGCCAGAAG